TCTAGGCTGTTTCTCCAGGAGTCTCAATGGAACAACAACAGGTAGAAAAAGAAGAGGCAAATATGGTTCTTCTCTCACATCCAAAGAAGTCACAGGAGGCTGCTTTCTCATTTGCCTGGATCAGGAGAACTTCTACATTTTTCCTTTTCCTTTGAAAGGTTATTCCTCTGGGGCAGTACTCACTACCAGAACAATTCTCTTAACTTTCACTTTCACCTTGTGATCTTATATACCTCTCTAAGTGTTAAAAAGTTTCAGGGGAAGCTCTGTCTGAGAACAAAGGACATCTACCACACAGGACCCATCTCACTGTGAGTCTTCACCTGATGGCATTCCTGGTTGCAATCTTTGGACTTAAACACATGCTCCCTGTCTGTGCTATCTTTCCTCTCCCCGAAGAGTCTCAGAGCTTCACAGAATGTTAGAGAAAGTTCAGGACCTAGACTGTGAGGGCCTCTGCTATCCAGCACTCTGTATTTGGTAGGGCTTAAGTAGTGTTAAATTCAAGACATAAGTTTACATAATGAGAATACAGGACACTGGGAAATGATCCTGTTCAACAGCATATTAGAAATCGGCATCATGCCCCACACGGAGGTGCATGGAAAGAGCACACCAAGCAGCAGAGGAACTGGAGGATGCTCACCCCCTAAATCCTATGGAAAGCCCATTCCCCAACTCTGAACAATATATAGAAACACAAGAGCCATCCTGAAGCACAGCGAATCCTGTGGAGGCAATGTCTGAACAGCCCTCCATGGGAACTGTGTCTGAGTGTTCTTGGAAAAGAGCTGGGTGGGTTTTTCTCTTCCTAGAACTAGAAAAACAGTTGGCATGGGAAAATTTTCACAAAAGGTATAAACCAGAAACGATGAGACAAAATACAGCCATGGTGACCTTGGTCCTTTCTCTGGCTCCAAGAACCTGTCTTCCTCTGGAGTTGTACAGCAAATTTAAACATGAGGGCTCTTTTCAGAAACTCTCCAGGCCAACACAATGGGAATGAAGTGGGCGCTTCCAACCAGCTGTTATTTTTTCAGGTCTCCAAATCTCCAAATCTCTGCAACAACTTGCCAATCACTTACACTCTGTCCCAGCACTGCTCACACTTTCCTTAAAGGATACACAGTGTGGGTAAGGTATGCAGTTAGGGTAGACAGCAGGGGAGGCTACAGATCACAGTAAGAGAAAAGGGGGTGGTAAAGTAGGGTTACTTACTAGGTAGGGGGATGATAATCATCTTCAGGAACTCAGAACCCCATCCCTGTATCACCAGGAACACAGACAAGCAGGGAATTTACAACCTGAAACTATTCCAGGCTTCAACATTCTTTTTCATAATCTATGAGTTTGCTAACTACTTCCATCACTAGAAAAAGATTGTGTCCATAGGACTGGGGTGGTGGCTCAGTGGTAGAGTGCTTCTCTAGCATGTGTGAGGCATTGGGTTCGATTTTCTGCACCGCATTATCAGTAAAGGTCCATTGACAACTAAATGAATATTAAAAAAAAAAAAGACTGTGTGATAGTGGCTCTTGGAAGGTGCACTCTTCTCACAAAAGCAAGTTGTTTCTATTCCTATAGGAAAGGCAATTACTCTCACTTCACAGACACAGAGAACAACCCAAAGTGTATAATTAAATATTTAAAACAATTTTAGAACCTAGGCTCCTGACAAAGTAGGAACAACTGTTCAAATTCCATGTCCAGAATTTTAGCAGGTTTGCAACAGAGTGGGTTCTGTTTCTAAAACACACACACACACACACACACACAACTAGCTGCCTTCATTCATTCATGTAGGGCCAGGTACTGGAAACAGAAGCATTAATAAGACACTTTCTTAAGTTCATCATCTACTTGGGGATGTAATCAGATAGCTGCAACAGCTGAAGCAGCAGTACCATCATTTTTTGTGGCACTGGGGACTGAACCCAGGAGCATTTCACCATTGAGTTGCATCCCCTGCCCTTTTCATTTTTGTATTTTGAGACAGGGTCTTGCTAACTTGCTGAGGCTGGCCTCAAATTAGAGATCCTCTTGCCTCAATCTCCCAAATTGCTGGAATTACAGGAGTGTGCTAGTGTGCCCAGTATTACATCATTTGTTTTAACAAGGCATATTGTGAGAAATGTTAAGCAAGGAAACTGTAATTGATAAGTTCTGATAATTGATAAGACTGTAACTGATGATTTCCAGTAGTGCCTGTTATGAAATGAAAGAGGGGAAGAACAATTCAAGCACTCATTATCTGCCTGGCTCTCCGATCCTGGACCTATTACAGATCCTGAAAAGTAGCATTATCTCAGAACTAGTAGTGTGATTACAGTCAGCATCTATGCATCAGTACTGAACTTCTCTTTATTGTGGACGGGTAAACTATAGCTACCCAAATTTTGGCTGTCCAATATTTTGAGGGCAGGTGTCATGCCCCATATTTCTTTAATCTCTAAAGCATTTAAACTATGTTACAGCCAGACATGGTGGCGCACACCTGTAATCCCAAGCAGCTCGGGAGGCTGAGGCAGGAGGATCACGAGTTCAAAGCTAGCCTCAGCAATTTAGTGAGGCCTAAGCAATTCAGTGAGACCCCATCTCTAAATAAAATACAAATAGGGCTGGGGATGTGGCTCAGTGGTTAAGCACCCTGTATTCAATCCCTGGTACAAAAAAAAGAGAGACTACCTTAGGCACTTAGGCACAAAGGAGACACTAAAAGCATACTGTCTTCCAGGAAAGGGAAAAGCAGTTGAGAAGCATTCTGTAAAACACAGTACTGCCCTACGTGATCACATTACTGATCCACTGTACGAGCCACCTGACACTAAGGGTTAGGGGTGGGGGCTATTCACTGAAGGGCCACAGAAGATAGCATAAGGTGGGTAAATAGTTTGGTAGGAAGCTGCAGTAAACAAGATTATTGGCTGATGTTTAGAATAGAAATAGACTTCTGACTGCTAACATTACCATGATACAAATCAAACACCATCCTTACTTGCCTTAAAAGCCTTCAATGACTTCTCATTGTACTTAAAATTGAGTGTGCCTCCTCCATGCACTGACAGACCATGGTGAATGGACCTGCACCTTGCCCATCTGCACTAGCTCCCCTTCCCTTACACACCTTGATGCCCTAGCCACACTGGCTTCCTTGTTCTTCCTTCAAACACACCAAGCTCTTGCCTGTACCAGGCCCTTACATTTACTTTTCCTTCTATCTGAACCCTGCTTTCTGAATGGTTGACTCCAACTCATTCTACAGATCTCAACTCTAATATCTTCTCTTTAGGGAAGCCTTTCTTGGCCATCTTATCTATAAAGTCACCACTGCTTTATTCCTATTACCTGCTAATACATCCACACTAGTTAGTTTATATCATAGTACTTATTAGATTCTAAAATTATCTTATTTACTTGTCTCCTTTTATTTATTTATTTTTGGTACTGCGGATTCAATCTAGGGGCACTTCACCACTGAGCTATATTTCCAGATCTTTTATTTTATTATTTTGAGACAGAGTCTACATTGCTTACGGTCTCACAAAGTTGCCCAGGCTGTCCTCCTGCCTCAGCCTCCCAAGTCATTAGAATTATAGGTGTACATCACCACACTTGGCTACTTGTCTCCTTTTTAATTATCAGTCTTGCCCTTCTAAATATAAATCTCCTGAGAGTAGGAGTAGATTTATCTTGCTCTATTAATTGACACGTATTAATACTATGAGTGAATGAGCAAATGAGAGATAGGAACCCACAGTGGCAATAGGTCAGTAGGCACTGAGTTAAGGTGGAAAATACCAGTTGTCCCATGATGAAGCCAGAAGTTGCTGCATGATTTCTTGTTTTAGTACTAGAGATTATACCCAGGGGTGCTGTCACTAAACCACATCCACAGCTCTTTTTTATTCTGAGGCAGGGTCCCCCTAAATTGCTGAGGCTAGCCTCAAACTTGTGATCCTCCTGCCTCAGTCTCCGAGCTGCCACGATTACAAGCACATTTCCAGGAGTACAGGCATATGATACTCTGCCTGGTGACTTTTATTTTATTTATTTATTTACTTCATTAGTATGAATACAAGTGATGATGGCACACACACAGAAAAAGAGAGAGCCTATGCTCTGCGACAAGTTAGAAAGAAATATCAAAAGAGCAAAATTCTAGCTGGACCCAGTGGTTTATGCCTATAATCCCAGCAGCTCTAGGAGGCTGAGGCAGGAGGATCTCAAGTTCAAAACCAGCCTCAGCAATGGCAAGGCACTAAGCAACTCAGCGCAATCCTGTCTCTAAATAATATACAAAATAGGGCTGGAGATGTGGCTCCATGCGCAAGTGCCCCTGAGTTAATCCCCAGTACAAAAAAAAAAAAAAAAGAGCAAAATCCTGCTGGCTTCAGCTTTTACAGTTTATGATGCTACTGTTATTCAAAGTGGATTTTCTCACTTTTGATAGATTCCAAGGTTTAGTTTCCTTTCTCTCCCATGGTGAAATTTGCACTGGGCCATCACCATGACAGTCCACCCATGACTTCACTTAGGCATGCTCAACACCCATCTCAGCCACAGGGTACTTGAGGACCTTGCTCTAAATACCTATTGAGAACAAGTAGGACAGAAGTTTCTTATCCTAACAACCTGAACACAAAGACAAACCATATGCAAGAAGTGGGTTCTTCCTCACAATACCTCAGTGTAAAGTCTCCTCCTTTGGTAATGGTAAATGTAAGAGCATAGGAACCTTCCGAAAGGTGTGATTCAAAAGCAAAGAAAGATTCACTGGCACCCTTTATGCATAATGCAGTTTGCTTCACGGAACTTCATCAATTAGGACAGTTATCTTAACTTTTTAGTGACTGAGAATCCTTGGACTTGGAAAAGCATGAGGAAAAAAAGAGAGGGGAAAAACCCTACCATCCTTGTTTTATGTTAGATGCTTTCAGAGGCATATTGGGTTCACACAATCACATTAAAGCAACAATCATAGCTGAGAGAGGGGCACTTACGTGGCATGATCCCTTGGCTCACGAGTTCTTCCCGGGTCCGGCGCTGCTGGAGCTTCAACTGCAGCACTGCAGGGCAGCAAAGAGAGAGGACAGATGAAGGGTCAGTCGGGTACTCCACCTCAAAAGACACATTTTCAAATGCACAAAAGTCTAAAAACAAAAGGTTGTAGCGTGAAAGATTCCCTTGAATTGTAACTGTGTAATTGCAGAAGTGGCCTGATACAGCAGGGTTTCCGTATTCTGCTGTGGGTGGCAAGAGGAAGTTGCGAAGTGTCTTGCAGGGCGATAACAATCCACAAAGTACCAGAGACTTGCCTCTTGTTAAAACCTTCTACAATACTGGGTCTTCCTTCTAAGACTGAAAAACACCAATTCTGAATTCACAGAAAATATCATCATGAGGACCAACCAACACCCAGCAAACAGAAAGATTTCCAGGTGCATGCACTTCCTTATTGAATATTTTTTTAAATACATTTTTTTTAGTCCCAGTTGGACACAATACCTTTATTTATTTATTTGTTTGTTTGTTTGTTTTTATGTGATGCTGAGGATCAAACCCAGTGCCTCGCATGTGCTAGGTGAGCATTTTACCACTGATCCCAACCCCAGCCCCTCCTTATTGAATGTTTACAACATGTGTATGGTGAGTGACGCAGCTGCTCGGAGAGCAGAAGATACTGGTTATTAAATTCTTCTCTTTTGTATCCAAAAATCAGAGCTATTTTCACTAAGCCTTGCATTCCTCTAGAACAGAAGATAGTGTGCCATTAATATACCTCTTTTCTTTCTCTTCCTCTTGACTCAGGGCCTTTTTCTGTTGGGGTGAAATAACCAAGCTAGATGACTCAAAGCACATCCGGCTAGCAGACTGAGAGGTGTTTCTCCTATTTCTACTTGGGCAACACCACCTAACGAAACAACTTAATAGGGATTTTTATTAAGTAAAAGAAGTCAATTATTTCTACTGCAAAAGTTAATGGAACCTAAAGGGAGGTTTAGGTTCCAGACATTACACAAGACAAAGGCAAATCTGTTGTTCCATGACTGAGAAAATGTGCAAAGAGGGGGTAAGAGGATCCCACAGGCCAAAGGAAGTCCCCTTACATGATAGGCCTTCAATTATAGGGGCCCTGCAAGCACAGCTGAAAGGAATCTGCATGTACTGGAAATCACAGGGTCCTAACATTGGCCTTTTCCACAGAGCACTTTTAGGGAGGCCTCCAAGAATGAGAGAACCATAACTAGGCTCCTGCCTACATCCCAAATGCAGTACATTCAAAGTAGAACTTCTTTCTCCCAAAAACCTAACCCACGGCCCATCCTTCTCACCTCTTTAGGAATCATTACCCTTCCCAGTACTGATTTCAATGTCTGAGCAACTCTGACCTCCACCACCTCGCACTCCTCTTACCAAATTTATCCCAACACTCTTTCCCTTGCTGCAGTAGCTCAAGGGCTCTGTCCTCACTTGAGCCACATCTCCCATTCTACAGCATCCCAACCAGGACTATCCAGCTCCTCTTCCTCAAGCACCATGAACCTTCTGCTGCTTCTTTTATTCACTTCACGAGGGAATGCCCACTGCCTTCACCTAGCCTTCCCAGTTCACTCCGCACATGCAGAATTACTCTGGGCCTTCTGTGACTACTTTTAACTGTGATGAAAACTACAAAGTTCTGATTTTTAGTTTTCTTGTCCTTAAAATGGGGACAGTAATGGTACCATCCTCACAGGACTCCTCCCCTGCTCCCTACACCCCTTCCCCCCAGGACACTGCACAAGCCAGGCCAGTGTTCTACCATTGAGCGCAAAATATGAAAAAGTATTTTGCCTTATGTAATAGTTACCCCTAATCATCTCTCCTAATAGTTTATAAATTCCTAGAGGGCAAGAAATGTATCCTATTAATAGATGTCCCCCAGCACCTCAAATAAGGTTGCATCTAATAATTGCTTCTTAAATTAAACTAGATCTCAAAATGATGATATGTACAAAGAAATCTTACCAAGAGGTTATTATTATTTTATAAATTAATATAGCCCCAGACTAACCCATGTGTTTTAAACCACTTTTCTTATAACATCCCTATGGAGATGGGCAGTTTTGTTTATTTATTTATTTTTTTGCAATATTTTATTTATTCTATTAACAGTGAATATTTAAAACATTTACAACATTAATTATGTTGTTCTTAAGAGAAGAACAACTTTCACCTTTTTTTTTTACATTTCTATAATAAAAGAAAATAAATAATTATGGTCAAAATTATTCTGTCAAAAACTTATCATGCTTAATGTTAGTATCTTTACATGCAACTCAGTTTTTGGTGTAAAGTTCTTTGGCTGCAAGAAAGAACATTTGATTTACTTCACTAATAGGAGTATTTCTTAATGCTGCGATGGCCTCTTCTTGGTAATTCTTCTGCTGTTGATTTTTAGCATAGTTATCTGTGATTGTATGCATGGAGTTGATTGGAGAAGTACTCATCATGTTAAGGAGGTGGACAGGAATGCAACTGCCCAATATTTTTGAGGCTAGTAGGTTAAGCCTGAGGAGTTTAGCCAAGATTCAGGAATAAAAGCCCACATAAGATAAAGGACAAAGCCAAAATGGGGAGGCTAGGATTGTGGCTCTGTAGTCGAGCCCACCTAGCACGTGAAAGGCACTGGGTTCAATCCTCAGCACCACATAAAAAAATAAATAGGGGCTGGGATTGTGGCTCAGGGGTAGAGTGCTTGCCTGGCATGTCTGAGGCCCTGGGTTCGATCCTCAGCACCACATAAAAATAAATAAAGGTACTGTGTCCATCTACAACCAAAACATAAATATTAAAAAAAAAAAAAAGACAAGGCCATCTGACTTTTAAAAATAAATAAATAAAGAGATAGATGAAATAAAGGTATTGTGTCCGACTACAACTAAAAAAATATTTTTAAAAAAGCCAAAATGGGAGCTTAAGAACAAAATCTCTCTTTCTGGTAATGGTGACAGTGAATTTTCCCTGTGGCTTTGGACAATCTCAGCACCCACTTCTCTGCACAAACATGGACTGGGAAGCTGTACTGGGGGAGGAAGAGCAGGCATTGTTAATCCCATCCTATAGGAAAGGAAAATGAGGCCCAGAGTGATTAAGTAATTGACCTAAGCTTATTCACTATTAAGAGTAGAATAGGATTTGAGCCCAAACATCCTGATTCCAGAATCAGAACTCCTCACTTTGCTTTTCCAGGATCTTCTGAAAGCCCATTCTGCTAACATAACAGATCTGGAACAGGAGGACAAAGGGGGTGACTGAGGAAAATGGGTGGTTCAAACCAGGATCATAGGAGTTCAGGTGATCAACTTTAGTCAAAAAAATTTAAATTAATCTAGGAATTTTATTTCAAAATAAATTATAACCACAGATCAGCAACAATAATTCTAGTAATAAAATACAAACAATAGTAGGAGTAAATGAATGTGTTACTGTGTATGAGGCTTTGTGTTAAATGACTGACATGCTTTTAAGTTATTTAATTTTAAAGAGGAGGGGAAGACTGAAGGGAGAGCTCAGTGGTAGAGCTCTTGCCAGCATGTGTCCTGGGTTCCATCCTCAGCCCTGGACTGAAGGTTTGTGGGGAGCGAGGAGAGGAGCCTGTGAGGATAATATGATTACCATCTCCCTTTTATGGACGAGCAAACTAAAAATCAGACCTTTAAAGTTTTGCCTCACCAGTTTTGCCTCGGGAGGCCGAGGCAGGAGGACTGTGAGTTCAAAGCCTCAGCAATGGTGAAGCACTAAGCAACTCAGTGATGCCCTGTCTCAAGTGAAATACAACAAAGGGCTGGGGATGTGGCTCAATGGTTGAGTGCCCCTGAGTTCAATCCCTGGTAACACCCCCCCCCAATAAATAAATAAATAAACTAATAAATTTTGTCTCATATCACAAAGGTCAAAAGTGCTGGAATGGGATTTATATCCAAGTATAGATGTCATTAAAGTTGAGACTTAATCATATGTAGTGTGCTTTGTAGGAAAGAAAAGGGGAAGCCAACCAGGATAAAGGGAGAGGGATAAGAGGACTACAATCTATCATCTTTTATAATGTTTGTAAGGCCTGGCTTAAGGTAAGCTATTAGAAAATGGTTAAAAATAATAAATTAGCCAGGCATGATGGCTCATGCCTGTTATCCCAGTGTTTGGGAGGCTAAAGCAGGAGGATCTCAAGTTCAAGGCCAGCCTCAGCAACTTAGTGAGGCCCTAAGCAACTAGTGAGACCCTGTCTCCAAAAAAAATAAATAAATAAATAAATAAATAAAAAGGGCTGGACATGTAGCTCAGTGGTTAAGCACTCCTGGGTTCAATTCCTGGTGCAAAAAATAATAATTTGATTTCATGCAAATAATCCAATTCAATAAGCCTGAACAATAATTTATGAAAGCAATGGTTAGTACCTGAGAATAATTTTGAAAAATCAGTTGTCTTCCTAAGTAAATCATATATAGACAGGATCGTGAGGGCTACTGTGCAAACTTCTTGACTGAAAAACCTCTGACCTCATGAAAGTAATGAAGCCTATAAAAACTAACATTTGTTTAATAAAATTTTCATCTCTAAAACTACAAAATTAAAGTCCATTTACCTGAAAATTCCATATGTCTCCCCTAAAAGTTAACTGCCAAGTCTGCACTCATCTAAAATCTGACCAAGTTTCCCATTCAAAAAAGAGTGCTTACTCTGGGTCAGTATTATCTTGAGTACTACTACACTTGACTGTAGGTATATACCATCTTAAACATTGCACCACCACCCCCTGCTAGCTCTAACAATGTACTTAAGGACATGAAAAAGGCAAAAGCAGTGAACTCTGGATTATGGAAGTCAACCTACACTTCACTGATTTATCTTCCAGGCTGTGTAGATTTCCAATGATCCTTCTAAGACTTTTATCTACAAAGAAACAGCATTTATGCAAATATTCCTTTTCCTTAATTATCTTACTTCCTCTTAATTCTAAACACTCTTGATAAAATGCCTTTACACGTTCAGGTCTTACGAATTTTGGAAGAAATAATAACTTCTT